ATGTGAAAAAAAATATTATTTTATTGAAAAATGTGTAGTTGAAAATGAGTAGAAAAATGATAATAAAAATTTTGACGTGGTTCAAAAATGGGCTAGGTAAAAATTTGGGACCCGTGACTAGTGTCACGTTTCAATTGATTTTGTCCTGTTCTTTTTATTTGTGAAGTGATTTATGATTTATGAAATAATGAGTTTTTACTTTTTATTTGATAAGCGATTCTCTTATGACGTGATTAGCTGCTTTGTCTTATAATGTGATTTTTTTCATAGCTAATCTCCAATTTACTGTGTATGGATGACAAAAAAAAAAAAAATTCAATTGACTCGAGATCTACGGGATCTTGATCCCGTAGATCTCGAGTCGAACGTAAAGAAAATTTCTCATCTCGTCAAGTTGGCATAGTACCAGCCTAAACTCTGACAATGGTAAGGTTACGATTCTTAGTAATACAAAAATTGTATCTACAACAAAACATTTTGCCCTTGTTTGACACTCATTCTTAATTTTTTCTCTTTCTTCATTTCAACCACACATTCTCTCAAAAAAATAATATTAAACACAAATCTATAACTTTTCCACCACACATTCTCCCATCAATCACTATTCCAAAAATTTCATTCCCTAAAAAATGGGTGTCAAACAGTAAAATCTCAATTCAATTGTTTCAATTGTATCTTCAAATTTAACTAGAGACGAACATAGTTCAATAAAACATTGTGTGCATGAAATATAACATTTTAGGTACAATTTCCCGTGTACATTAAACTACCTCAAAACTTGGGTTTCACTGTACTCCTATTGGTCTTACTAAAAAAAATGAATTAAAGTTTAACTTAAAGTCAATAATTAATTTTAACCACATATTTAATTATATTCAAAAAATTTAATCACACGTTCTATCGTTTTTTTAATTAAAATCTAATTTTAATTAACTAAACATGGGCTAAATAAGTCCTTGTTTGTCTTCCTTTAAAATTTTAAATTATTTTTTACAGTACCATTCTTTATCATACATTTATATAATAGAATATTCTACACATAAATCAATAAAGTTTATTTACTTTTTAATCACACATTTTTCATCAACCTATTATTCTATAATACATTACAAGAAATTAATTGCTCTCAAATAGGGCCTAAGTGCCAAATCTAATACTGGCTGGCTCCTCAAATTCACGGGTGAAATCGAACGGGGAAAAAATATTGAACTTTTTGACTGTACCTGCACAGCACATCCAACACACTGCCCAGACGCACACTCCCGTTCTGTATATTGATATTTTCTTTTGATAAATATATTCTCTCACACACAGTCTTGACAGTCTCTCCTCAAAAACAGCACAAAACAAAGGAAGATAAAGATCCAAGATAGAATGTTTCCACAATTTGCCTAAAAGAAATTGTGCATTAAGGAATAATTTCCAATTTTAGCATTTGTAAATCGAGGTGCACGATGTTCAGTCTCAGATTGCTCTGGATTTTGCTACCTCTGTTCTTACTTCTCAAGCCTTCTTTCTCTCGAGGTCAGCTCCTCACCCGCTATCTGTTTCTTGATATCTGTGAT